GCATCCAGGGCTGGTGCGCGGGGACACGCCCGAGCTGGCCGAGCACCACCACCACCACCACCACCACGCGCACCCGCACCCGCCGCACCCGCACCACGCGCAGGGGCCTCCGCACCACGGCGGCGGCGGCGCGGGGCCCGGACTCAACAGCCACGACCCGCACTCGGACGAGGACACGCCGACCTCGGACGACCTGGAGCAGTTCGCCAAGCAGTTCAAGCAGCGGCGCATCAAGCTGGGCTTCACGCAGGCCGACGTGGGGCTGGCGCTGGGCACGCTGTACGGCAACGTGTTCTCGCAGACCACCATCTGCCGCTTCGAGGCCCTGCAGCTGAGCTTCAAGAACATGTGCAAACTCAAGCCGCTGCTGAACAAGTGGCTGGAGGAGGCGGACTCGAGCACCGGCAGCCCCACGAGCATCGACAAGATCGCGGCGCAGGGCCGCAAGCGCAAGAAGCGGACGTCCATCGAGGTGAGCGTCAAGGGCGCGCTCGAGAGCCACTTCCTCAAGTGCCCCAAGCCCTCTGCGCAGGAGATCACCAACCTGGCCGACAGCCTGCAGCTCGAGAAGGAGGTGGTGCGGGTCTGGTTCTGCAACCGGCGCCAGAAGGAGAAGCGCATGACGCCGCCTGGGATCCAACAGCAGACGCCCGACGACGTCTACTCGCAGGTGGGCACCGTGAGCGCCGACACGCCGCCGCCGCACCACGGGCTGCAGACGAGCGTTCAGTGAAGGCACTGGGCGCAGCGTGCAGAGGGCCGCCGCCGCCGCTGTCAGCACCGCCACCGCCCCCGCCGCCGCCGCCGCGCTGACCCCGCACCGGGGCCGCACCGGGCCGGCCAGTCCGCAGCCCTCCCCTCCGCCCAAAGACAGGCATGCCCGCCCTAGGAGGAAAAGAGAGACGGACCAAGGAGACATTTTTGAAGTCAAGGAAGGAGGGGCAAAACAAACGAACGAACAAAAGCGTAATAAATACCCAGACTGTTTTATATACATATATATATAACGAGACTGGAAGAGAAAAAGGGGGCGATCATGAGATCTCGTTTATACTGTGGTGGTGTTTCGTTTTCTTTCTCTTTTTCTTTTTAAAGAAGGGTGAAGATACCTAGCGCACCAAAACTGCACTCGTGAGGTTTTTCCCACCCTGAGAAGTCGAACCCCGCAACGGTGGACAGCACCTAGCACCTGCCTCGTCCTCTCCTCTTAAAAAAAAGAAAAAAGAAAAGGAAAAGCGCATCCCCCTTCCCTCCACTCTCTCCCTCCAAAGGGCTGCCGAAAGTGATCCACCAAAACTTTCTCTCCTGGGAGGGATCTGAGAGAAAGCGGAGGCACCGGGCTTAATCAGGGGATGGCCCTGTGCTCTGGGACCCCTGTCTTTCTTGGCCATTTTAAAGTCATTTGGGGACAGACGAATTGACTATGAAATGGGAAGGTGAAAAAAAGAACCGTCTCAAGAAAGATAGATATCTTCGCAGCTTCTGAAATTAGCAGACTGTATAGCAAAGCCAACAGATAAAGAATAAGTGTCCTCAAAGTAATCCTGGAAATAAAAGCATCACGAGAGAGCAGAGGGATGGGCGAGGGAGAGGGCACGTCCACCGAGGAGTGGGAGAGGCCCGGGCCCAGCGGGGGCGCGGGCGGACTGGGCGCGGAGCGAGGCCCGGCCTCCAGCCCCGGCTTTAACGGCTGCCACTCGGGCGGACGACGCCTAAAGATTCCACCGCTAATATTTTTTTTATTAATATTTTTTATTTTTTATTTCTGGACTGACTCAGATAAAGGGATTTAGAAAGACTGAGCACCAGCCGCTGCACCTCTCCGGACTTCTCTCCTCAATCCGTTGCCAACTTTGATTGAATGGGTGCTGTGGATGTGATTATACAATACTGCCATTTCCAAGCAGTGTTTTTGGTAGGTTTTAATAAACAGACTTTTCAAAAGACGGCAATATAGAATTGTTAGATCCGTTGTTGATCTAAAAATATTTGCTTTATATTTTCATTAAATGACTTCTTTTAATATTTTATTCAGAATACTTATGAACTGCTGCAAAACGGTAATTTATTTTTCCCCAGATCTTGTATTACGTGTTTTTTTCAGACGAGCACAAATCAAAATGAAATGAAAATATGGACAGTTGTTAGGTAATAAGGGTATCTTTTGATGTGATCATTTGATTGTAATTTAATTTGAGTAGTGATTCCGTAAGAGCTGATCGAGAAAATAAATTTGTTAGAATGAAATAGTCTGTGTCTGATGCATAAACACTGTGTGGGAAGAAAAGAGTTCTTTAGAAAATATTTTTTTACTAATGCAAATCCTTAAGTGATAGCACTGAGGAAGTCGAGCCTGCTCCACCGAAGGTCTATCTGGAAATCTAGAGGAAAGGACAGGCCTGACAGAAAAGGATAGGACTTTCACATAGTAGTCACTCCTTGTGAATCCATAAATTTCACAATATTGTTCTCTTTCTTAATTTTAGTGGGAGTTTTTGGTGTTTTTAGGTGAGATTGTCTAAATACTAGTCCTTTTCTTGGAGATACCTGTGTCCTTTATCATCTTTATCAGAGGATTGGCCTACATCACCAGTAAAAATGTGCCAACTGGTTATTAATGGTTAATACAGACCCCCCCAGAGTTGAGCCTCTCTTTTTCCTCTCACCACCCCCACCACATTGCTATGCTGTGTCCCTTTCCTCTTATTCTGAAGACTAATAGTTGTGAAGAATAGCTTACAAATCTATAACATATTTTTATATCAATTACTTCCCATTAATAACTATATGTAGTTAAGTTTAAGTTATTAAGCTGTTTTTGTTCTTTGTTCTGTTTGTTTTTCCTATGATGAAAGAGTGTAGTTCTGAATTCCTGCCTGTGATCCACACTGCATGACCCTCAGTGTGATGACAAGCTGAGACTTAAGATTCTACATTTCTGTGTTTCTGTCTTTCCCCAGTACAATTCTGTATCTTCTTTACTGGTGCTGGGGGTTTTAGCTTTTCTGATCACTCTTGAGATACACACCCTGCAGAGCGGCCACATTTATCAAGTTAATGCATCAATATTTACAATGTGGGAAAATGAAAGTGTAATGCCTCAGGTTGTAAGTACTAAAGACGCAAAAGGCTCTGCTTAGTTGAGTCCCTTCATATTGTACTTTAAAAAACAAAAGTATTTAGGGGTGATAAAGTGGTTATTTTATAGATTAATTTCCCCCAATCTCATTTAGCTGTCACTCACTTTTTGTCTTCGTCTCTCATCTTCACTCCCTCTCCCTATGATACGGATGCAGGGGTTAAAAAACCCAGAAAACTGTGAGAGCAACAAGGAACAGTTATTTCTTCCAGACAGACCCTGTGTCACTTTCATAAATCAAGCCCAGCCAGATGGCCGTGTATTGGGTTGCATTATTTTAAACACCAAATCGTACTAAAAATCACAATCATTTTGATTTGTGAAATCTGAAAAAGGCCATATTTATTAAACAGAGAGAAGGAAAAAAATGAAAACAAGAAACCACAATTTACTTTTCCCTGCCTTCTTGTTTCCTATTTCTCTCGCTATTGTAATTTCTCTGCTCAGCAAATTTACAATCTGGAGTGGGGAGTGGGGACAAACTTCATCATTTTTTGAGAGTCTACAGGGGCAAGCAAAGAGGGCCTTATTGGAAAACTAAGGATTGGGTGTGGTTGTTTTTATATGGTGCATACTACTGGCACGTGAGATGAAATCCTGTTTTCCCTACAGGAATGGTCCTGGTTGATTAGACAGAGAATGGGTCTATTTAAAATTTTAGGCGGTATTTGCTTACTTGGTTTGGCTGACAACAAAAGAACTAACATTAGAATTCACACTGTTTTCTATTAAAAAGCAACCTTTGCTGGTTACTTCAGAAGAAACCCTGGTTTAGGAGTAGCAGAGTAACTTTTAATTGCAGAAGCTGGCAAAGCAAGCCCGTTTTATTTCATTATTTTGCATTTTTTAAAGTGAGCTAATGCTTGCACTCCATATTTTTAAAAAATCAACCCTTTGAATGTATTTACAAAATGAAATTCATGGTTGAAAAACAAAAGAGGGCAGATATAACTGAGAGGTTTTGTGCTAAGGCTTATATTGTTACACATGTAAATAATGAAAATATTGTTATATATCACCAGATCTTTTTAATGAATTTGGTCATTGTGTTCCTTTGCAGTGCAAGTGTCTTGTGCTTCATAAAGTGCCCATTTGTTTCCTCCATTTCAATCCACCCCCTCCTCCCCTTCCAACCCAAAGGAAAGTGACAAAGTTCTGTTCCATCAATCTGGCTAATTCCGAGCTAGGCCCATTTATAGTTTGCAGTCTCCTGTGGCTCCTGATCTTGTCCAAGCCCGAGTCACCTCATTCACCCAGCCATCTTCCCCTGCAAGTCTGGGTGATTAATCATTCAAGGTGTATTTAAAATAGTCACTTTGCTGTTGTTGCTCTGCCTTTTTTTTCTTTTTAAGTACTTAGCCAAGGACTACTTCTTTGTTCCAAAATAGAACTATTCATTATTGATCTTAGAGATTCCCTCTGCTTCCCTGAAGTCACCACTGTTTGCTCATTACCATGCTTATAATCTGTTTTGTATGAATGGTTTTCGACATTCAGAGAATAATTGGTTCTAATATTAAATGCAGTATATACTATTGATAGTTTTATCGATAAGTGTAATATTTTAAATAATTTTAACAATTAAATTTGTTTTTTAAATTATATATTTGTAAAGTATTTATCCTGTTGGAAGCAACAATATATTGTTGTATTTATTCGTTTATTTTTGTAATAAATGATCAACCTCTTCAAGCTAAATCAAAAATGACACTTTTATATATTTATACAAAATGCATTTTAAGAGCTGGGCATATTTGCACCAATTTGTATGTAAATAGAGTAAGATCCATCAATAACTTGTAGCTTTCAGAACTAAATTCAAGGAAGAGACATTCTCCCCACATGGAGTTTAGTTCACCCAAGTTCCAGGGTAATTAATCAAACTCTAAAATGGATGCAACAAGTATTGGCACTGGATACAGACTTGAAATTAATTATTAAGGAGGTGGACCTGGTTTTTTTCAAAGTAGAAGGATAGAAATGAAAGAATTCACTTCTTTCATGAAATGCATGTGGCTGACTGGAACGATTAAAACAGATGCTGTGTATCAGTGATAAAACCTAATACCTGGCTGTGCTCAGACATCTATGCTAGGAAAGGGTATTGAAAGAGAGTTAAGACTTGGAGGTTATCAGTGACCCAGCAGCAAGGTGATGTAGGAAAAAGAGTTGTATATTGTTTTAAAAAAATAGATCCTCTTAAAATGGCTCTGAGTGAAGAACCTCTTTCTCTTAGTCCTGTTACTGGCAGCAGAAACAATGAGTACAGGTGTTGTTGTTTGTTGTTGTTGTTGTTGTTGTTGTTAAGAGAGACACACGTAAGGAGTGTGGTGGCCACCTCTCCAGCTCTCCAAGTTCTGTAGGTCACTTGGTCATCTCAGTTCCTCAGGGCGGCAGTTCCGAGGGCCTGAAGGTCACCCACGTGATCCCCCGGCTGCCGGAGTCCCACCATGGGCTTGATCTTGATTTCAATAAGGAAATCAGAGGGCTCTGGGTTTGCCTCCTGAACTTTCCAGTCTAGGAAAGGAAATAGTGCAGAGGCTGGAAGAGATGGATGGGGGTGGGGGCAGCGGAGATAGCAAGAGGGGTACTTGTGTAATCAGATTCTTTGATTTTGTTAGCCTGGCTCATGGCCTATTAATTAGATTACTCTCTCTTTCATTCTTGATTTCACATCCGTGTTTGTTCCTGTGTCCTAAAATGTGGGCGCGAGCGTGGCGAGCAGGAGCCTATGATGTCACTGCCGGCCAGCGGCGGCCGCCTGGTCTTCTGGAGGGCTGTGGGGTGCGTTCTTTATGAGTCGGGTCTTCCTC